AGAAGTAGCATACCAGAAACAACTCTTTGCGATTCTTTGGATTATCAGGTTATTAATGTAATTCTTTTTCTTTTAGATAGGAATCAGTCTTCGAAGATTGGTTGTTGACTTTGGAAGATAGGAATGAGTCTTTGAAAGATATGTCCTCGATTTCAGGTTTATGACTTCTCATTTTGAGAAAGATTGGTTATTGACTTTGTGTTTGCATTTGATGTAATTGATGACTAAAGCTACGTCTTGGAAGATTCTCATGTGGAAATATAGTGTTTATTATAAGCACTTAGGGTTTTAAATTCCCAAAAAATCATAAAATAGGTATTTAATTCTAAGTAGAGGTTTAACCAAGACATTCATCTTCTTTATACAACTGTTTTGCTTGTGTAATATATAAGTGTATTGTCTATCCTCTGTCCACTATTGACATAAATCCCAGTTGAATGTTCCTTTATATTGTTACTGTAATGATCTTTTTAAAAGATGAGAGCAGGTGACTTGACTTTTATCAATTAGAGATCTGCAGGAATGGAGTTGTTTAACCTGAACTATCATTATGGAGGGCATTTAAACAAAACACCCCCATCACAATATGTAGGGGGAGGAAACACTCGTAATGAATATAGATCCTGATAAATTGGATTTTTGGTTGCTGTTCAGTTTGCCCAAAGAGATGGGAATTGATGATGAAATTGAGGAGATTTATTACCTTGTTCCTGGGGAGTCGTTAAATGCAGGCTTGCATAAGCTTAGTGGTGATAAAGATGTGATAGAAATAGGCAGATTGGGTATGCAAGTAGGTGTGGTTGACTTATATGTTGTGCATAAGGGTGATGAAAATCGATACAATACCTCAATCGAATACCCTGCCCATTCCCCTTTCGCTGAAGGTGAAGAGGAGAACTCAGAAGAAGGAGAACAAAACTATAGATGGGATGACGGCTTTGAAGAACCTGAGCATCCATATTTAGAAGCACTGGATGGAGGAAAAAGTGATACGAGTGATGAAGAATGGACTAAAGCTAGAGATAGTGGAGAAATGGAATATGAAAACAACTGAAGAAGTCAAACAAGCTATTGTTCAAATGGAAGAGGGCACATCTGCTGGAGAACAAGAACAATTGTTGATATTAGATAAAGAAGTTGGTGGATGTGTTTTAGAGTATGAAGATAGTGACGGTGAAGTAGATTCCCCAGGAGATAGTGAAGAAGATGATATTTTAGGGCAGAAGAAAAAGGGTAGGGCACCAATTGTGAACGAGTCTACTGATTTCAGCAAATTACAATGGTGTGCAGGGATAAGGTTTGGTAACGCAGAGAAGTTTAGAGAAGCTATTACTAGGTATGCAGTTGCTCAAGGAAGAAATTTGACTTACAATGTTAGTGATCAAAACAGGAGCCAAAGATTAGGCGTGAAATGTGCACCAGGCTGCAAGTTTTCTGTCTATGGTTCTTGGGACTATAAACGGGATTGTTTTGTTGTGAAATCTGTGAACAGTAAGCATAACTGTTTTAGAGACATGAGCAGGAACAGACAACTGAAGTCCAAGTGGATGGCCAAAAATTTATTGGAAGTCTTTAAAGCTACACCCCACTAGCCCGGGAAGCAAATTGTTGATGCCGTTAAGATGAAGTGGAAAGTGGTTATCAAGAGAACGTTAGCTTACAAAATAAAGTATGAGGCTAACAAAATGTTACATGGTTCAATGAAGGACCATTATGCTAAGGTTGGTAGCTATTTAATGGCTTTGAGGAAGGCAAATCCTAATTCATTCTTTGACTTATTCACAGATCCTAAGGTCATCAGAAATCGCTCCCCCTATCCCCATCCCCATCAGAAATTTCAGCGACTGTTTGTATGTTTTGATGGGTTGAAATGTGGTCTTCTAAGTAGTTGTAGAATGGTAGTTTGTTTAGATGGCTTCTTTTTAAAGACTTTTTTGGGTGGAAAGCTGCTAGTTGTTGTTGGGAGAGATGAGAATAATCAAATGTTTCCCTTAGCTTGGGCTGCCGTGGAGGGTGAAAACAACAACTCTTGGGAATGGTTTTTATCAAAGTTACAATTTTGTTTGGAGACAACAAATGGAGAAGGCTGGATATTAATATCTGACCAACAAAAGGTTTGTTTCATTTAAATTTATCTTGTAAATAATCTCATGTGTGAACTTATGATGAAGTAGATAAATGTAATATACATTTTGCAGGGTCTCGTAAATGCTGTGTCAAAAGTACTCCCTTTGGCTGAGCATAGAAATTGTGCAAGGCATATATTTAAGAACTGGCACTCTAAATTTAAAGGTGATGAGATAAAAGGTTACTTTTGGGAAGCTGCGAGATCATATAATGAAGTTGGATATAGTGAGGCTTTAGAAAAGCTAGGAAAGATATCCAAATCAGCTGCAGAAGCTTTTGTAGCTCAAAATCCTAAATCATTTTGTTGGGCTTTTCTAAACACACACACGAAATGTGATGTCATTGTGACCAACACATGGCAGAAACTTTCAATGGTTACATTATCGAAACAAGATCTAAACATATTATCTACATGTTAGAGGATATACAGACTGCTTTAATGGAAAGGTTAGTGGTGAAAAGGCAATGGATGGAAGCAAATGATCATGAAATTTGTCCTAGGATTGCTGCGAAACTGGAAAGGTCAAAAGATGAAAGCATTAATTGTTATCCAACCCCTTCGACAATGACACAATTCCAAGTAAGACATGTTCTAGATGAGTTGGTTGTGGATTTGGAAAACCAAACATGCACATGTAGAAAATGGGATCTCACCGGCATCCCATGTTGTCATGCAATATCATGCATTTTCTTTTTTGAGAAAGAAAGCAGAAGACTTTTTGCATCCTTTCTACAAGAGAACAACCTACTTGAAGAGTTATAGTGGGAAGATAGCTGCTTTAGAGGGTGAAAAGTATTGGCCATCTTCTGAAATTTTGGTTCACCCCCCTCCAATTAAAAAAGGCCCTGGCAGACCACAGAAAAAAGAAAAAGAAATCCTTATGAGGATCCTAAAAAAGCTGGGAAGCTAACTAGGCATGGTAGAGAGATGCATTGCAGTAATTGTAAGGAAAAAGGGCACACAAAAAACAAGTGCAAGAGCAACCCTCAAGAACTCTCACAAGCCATTACTAAGAGGCCTAGAGGGAGGCCAAGAAAGATAAATATTGATGATCAAGTTTCAAATACAAATCACCATTCAGTTGTGGCCCAACCTTCTGATAGAGGTAGGGGTGGGAATAGGCAAAGAAGGGGAAGAGGAATACAAGCACTTGAAGGCAGAAACAAAGTGAGAGGGGGAACATATGTTAGCTATTTAATTTATTTAAATAATTTTAAAATTTATTTAATCCTAAAACTGAAAATATGCAGATTGCAGCTGGATTTGGCGTTTACTATAACTCTGCAGATGGTAATCAGTATATCAATGTATGTGTACTAATGTTTTTTAATACTTTTGTGGTAATCATTTATATGACTTTTTGTAGCAAGTCTTATTCGTATTTTTTTTGGCTATACTTTGATTTTGCAGACAATGACTAATCCTATGAATGTATCTGAAGTGTCCTTCCCTAAGACTCAATCATCTCTGTCAAGACAAAATGAAAGCATTAACGCTTCTACGGGCGCAACTCAAACATGAAGGCAGTGTTGATTCCCATGACAGTTTTTAATTACACAGATCATGTATTAGTCGTTTTTGGTATACTTTGGTTAGAAAATTGCTGGTTTTGCAGATATTGACCATTTCTAACTATATTTTGGTTAGATGAGCCCTGAATGGATGTTAGTATGTTATTGTATGAATGAATTCTTGGATGATGTTTATATATTTTGGGACGGATTGCAGTTTTTATTGTTGTTATTATTGGATGGAATCTAACAACCCCAGCATGCCAATACTAGTTCATGGTTCCAACTTTTTTCACACTATCAGTCTCTTCAAGACTTCAGTGAATACAACTTATAAGCAGTCACTTGAACATGTCTTATACTTCAGTTTCTATCCTAGTTGTGGAAAAGTTCTTTAATTTGCCATGAGAAGCTTTAATGATACATGTCTGGATGAAACTTACAAGAGTAACTGCTATTACCTTCATAATATGTTAAAGGAACCTCACCACTGCTTATATTATAAAGCTATAGAATACTGGAAGTGATGTCTCTTTTTGGTGGATAGTACTTAAAGCCACTTTAAACTTTGGGCTGACAGCAAAGCCATTGAAATGGAAGCAACCAAAAAAGACTAGCTAGCTAGCCATCTTTCCCCAGCCCTTTGAATTCGAATCTGCACATATCACATATGGTTTGGCATTATTCACTTCTTTCACCCAGAACTTTGGCATCTTTAATTTACTAGATTCCACCACTTCATTCATTTTAGTTTAGTTTTATTAAAACATGAACTTTTTAGGATACACAGTAATACATTTGTTAGTATTTCTTAATTATGGTTGTGAAACCAACTTTATAAATAAATTCTTATCAGTTTTTAAAATGTGAGTTCATATCTTAATATCTATTCGATATAGCATGAATTAAGATGTCAAAGTTGTAAGAAACTCAGAATAGATAAATCAAATTTGAGTGGAAAATATTTCTAAAACATGCTCATTTTTGTTAATCAACATTCTTTGTAGTTGTTTATGATGATCCAGAGACGTTTTTCAGATTTTTTCCCAATGACATTTTACTATTTTGAGTGGAAACAGAAAATCCAACTGGTGCATAATTTACTATTTCTAAGTGCAATAGATATGTCATATGTGTATATCATGTGTAGCAAATTGCCATCATTACAAACAAACTAGCTGCAATTTTAAAATATTTCATGTTCCCATTAAATCTAAACTGCAGTCTCTTAATAAATTGATAATCAATGTTGAAGGTGTATAAACATTACCATATCAAACAAAATAGCACAACATATATCCCAAACTTATTACAAAAACAGACCAAATTGGCCTAAATGGATTGTACAATCACAAAGCACACAACACTGCTATCATTCTTACATCCTACCAACTAAAATGGATACCACAATAGCAATGACAACCCAAGATAAAACAACACCACACATAGTCTTTTTCCCTGGATTCACTTTCCTTCTATCAGCCTCTAACAATTTTTTTCACTCTGAGCTTACATATTTTTTCCAACAAAATTTTGTTCTCAATTTTCATTGCTTCCAGCTCTTTTCTAAGCCTTTCATTCTCATCCAAAACTGACTGCTTTTCTGCATCCATTGACACCCTACTCTCCATCTTCTTTGAATCATGCTCCCACAAAAAGAAATTACAATTGTCACTCTGCAAATTACAAAAACATAACACCTATGTCAAAATCTAATACAAAAGAAAAGCATTTATTCATAATTTGGTCTTAATTATACCTGCCATAGAATTTCTTTCCCTTGTTTGGCCCAAATGTCACTGTCTTCAAAGCTGAAACCATGCCATGGTCGCATTTCACAAGTACCTTTGATATCCTTTTTTATGATGGAGTAACCGTTGATTGGGCTTCGTTAGAATTACAATAGGTCATTTTGAAGAGCAAAATTCGGACTTAGGTTTTCATGGATGAAACAAGTAAATTCGGGTAAACCTTTATGAGCACGAAAAATTTAGGGTAGAGATCGATTGGTGAGAAGATCGTGTGATGAGGTGAATATGATTACAAAATGAAACCAAAATTATGCGACAAAGAGAAGATGGAGAAGAAGACAGCAAATAAAGAAGAAAAGGAAGAACAGGGAGACCGGCTAGTAGCGGTAGGGATTAATATAAAACGGAACCATTAGTCCCGTTGGATTCCATCTATTTACGTGAACATGTTTAAGAGTTCGGAGTATTTGTATAAATTTTGTCGGTGCGGATTATTATTGTGTAACCGGTAGAAGTACAGATTATTGGTGTGAATTTCACCATGTATATATATATATATATACATATATATCTAATTATTTGAAAATAAAATGTTTCAAATTGAAAATGAGAGAATTAGAATATGTTTGATAAAAGATGATCAAAGCTTTACATAAAAAGAATATATAATGAAAAGACAAATGCAACTGAATTCTTCATGCTAGCAGTTAAACCAATAGTAGAGATATATCACTAAAATGTTAAAATATCATCTAAGTGATGCTTTAAATGCAAGCCTCCATCTACCATTTTCTTTTCAGAGCTCTGAGATGGAATGGTAAGTGCTATCGTTTTCAATTGGAAACAAATAAAAAACTTGGAAGAAGCTTCAATTAATAGGGAAAATACATAATCTATAAAAAGAGCAATCTGAATGGCAAATATGCCATTTATATGGCTGGATTTCATAAGGATAGCAATGTCAACACTAACACATATCAATTTCTTTTGCGGCAAAAAATTCTGATCATGATCTTAAAGAAGAATCTAAATGAATTGAATGCCCAAAACCTTTTACGAATTGACCAAATCCTACTAAAAGAATCTTTGATGCTATTAGTTAGATTGTTTTAACTACATTCTTCAAAAAAAAGGTGGGCTTGCTGTTCGTATATCCAAGACTTTGTGTTTTCGAACTTTGGTTGATTTGGTCTATTTCAGTTTCAATAGTCTTTTACAAAAGTATTTGTGGGTATTGCTCGAAAGTGCATAGAGTTTCAATTAAGGTGTGTGCCTACTTTTATAGTCTATTATTGTTCTTGTACTTCACCTAAAATAACTGATTTTGAAGAATGAATGTGAACATAGTGAGCACAACTCAAAAAGCTCATATATCATGTCCAATAAATGTTGATTTCAACAACATAGTAAGAACAACTGTGTAAGACTCTAATACTAACTAAAGTATAATTGCTTAAATAATGGCATAATTGAAAAAAAAAATCTAAACACAGAAACAGAGCATTTAGTTTTGGTGTCTTGAAAATTAACATGGTTTTGAACCTAATTCATAAAAAGGGAAGACAAATGTTTGAAGTTGTCAGTTAGATTTTTTAAATTTCATTGTTAAAAAAGGTGGGCTAATTTTAAACCGGACAATCATGCAAAGATACAGTGAAGCTTAAATGAAAATCAGAAAATGTGAAGGGAGAATCAAATGATTCGTGTCCATCGAAGAAGATGAATATATGATGAAGAAGAAGAGGAAACAAATTACATAGAAAGAAAGAGCAACTTTGACCATCAAATGATAATCTTTTAATGCAAACCTTGGATCTTTTAAATCGTCTGTAGTGTGACATCTCATCCATTTTTTCATTAACTAATTAGGCAATGAAGCTCCTGCAAAAAAATGTGAAGGGAGAATCGGTGGAGATAGTCGAGAAATGTAAAGTAGACAGCAGGGGTGAAGCAACTTTGGCCCAGATTAATATAAGGTGCTTTGAGCATTCTGAGCAATATAAAACCATTCTAAGCATACAAAAAAACTAAACACACAGAAAGAATAAGAAGAGCATTGAGACATATAGCTTATACTTTCCTCGTTAAGTGAAATAGCAAGAAGAGGAAATATCAAGATATTTGCAGTGTGAAGGTAATGGTCCAAGTCAGTAGTGACAGAACATTGATTATTCCAACTACTGCAGTCTCAGCGAATCAGAATTGCTCTTTCATGCCAAATCTACATCGTACTCTTTCAACCATGTACATTAACAACTACTTAAAACTTTAGTTAACACAGCCAATTATATTTGGAAAAAATATAAAAGACAAATTGCAACTGCTTGTATTATCATATAGCCATTAATTATCATTTCATTTGGAGCTTTAGGAAATAATCGAAAGTGACTGGAACTCAAATAATGAAAAGGAAAAAAGGGAGGAAAACATTAGAGAATTTGAAAGAATAAAAGGTGAAGGGGGGAACTTGTTTGAATGAGTTCAAACTTCAAAGTCTTTTTATTCTCGGAGTATATCCGTGTTACATGAGGGAGGCTAGAGCTTTAATAAAGAAAAAAAGAGGCTAGAGCTTTAATAAAGAAAGAGGCACATATGCATCAGACACCTAATATGTTCATCCTCCACATGACAGTTACAATATAGAGAAATCTTTCATCAAGGGTAAGATTAGACAATGACAATAACCTGTCATTGTTTTTTTTATAATTTCATGGGTTATATATATATGTGTGTTTGTTCTTGAAAACGAAGTGTAGAGCAATAAAGTTTTATAGTCTGTATTATATGTCACTATTTTTCATGCCACACGTGAAATTAACCCCTTTTTCTAAATCTTAGTTATTTTTTGAAAATTTAAGTCAATCTAGAACACCCTTAAATTCACCATCACTTTGGGACTTCTATGTCTCATCCTTTGGCCCAGATTAGTTAGAAAATTAGCAATCCACGGGATATAGAGAAATCGGGTGCTTTGAACATTCTGAGCAATATACACCACTCTGAGCATACAAAAAACTGAACACACGGGTTCATGTTTCAATGATTTTAGCAAAAACATTACTTAAGCAATCTCCCCAAAGAGCTGAAGGTGTTATAACATATACCACATGTTAATTCTGATTTCCTGCCAGGCTAAGGTTCATGTTAGGAACCTACGGGTCAATATGGGTGGCGGATTCCCGAGGGTAGGATTGGTCTAAGCCTTGATATGTATCTGAGATATTATTAAAAGTGAAAGAGAAACATAATATGTAATTTATAAAAACATCAACACCTTTTATTTATTTTTAAAATATCCTATTTGTAAAATTGAAAAAATGCAGATGGCAGATGGTTGATCGTTTTAAACAGGTTTTTCATGGCATAAGACGGGTTTTTCTAGACTGCAAATCTATCAAAATGAATGTAATAAGCTGTGCACAAGGCAGATTAAATGAAAATGCACAAATAAAAAGCTAAATTTAAAACTGAAATAGAGAGAAGAGTATAAATTACCATCCTTTGGATTACAGATGCAAGAAAGGGCTAATGGATGTTGTGAGATAAAAAGAAACGAAAATGGAATGGACTTGACAAAATAGTGATGAATCTCTATGAAGTGTTGAGTGGGAAGAAAAAGAATGGTTCAAACAAACAACCTGGAGCCCTAGATATAATCTGAAATGGAAGAGCGGAGATGAGAATCATACATAGATTGAAATTGAAATTTAATCCCAAGGCTTCTATTAATCCGCCCGAGGCTTCCGCTCTTGAAACTTCGATTGTATTGGGAAATGAGAATCATTTTGAATGGGAAATGGAAAGAGATAGAGAGAAGATGAGGAATCCTTTTGTTTCTGTGAGAGGGGAATGGAAAGCAATTACGGTAGTATATTTTAGAATTGCAAGAGCCTGGATTTAATGAAGCGAGCGTAAAGCTAATAGCGAAATGTTGAGCGGGAAAATGAGCGGATCTCAAAGTAGTGCAATTTATATGTAGGATGATTTCAGCCCACCACTATCCTTTTTAATAAACTCCGTATGATTTGTTTATCATTGAAAGAATATTTTAAATCATTTTTTACAAAATATCTTAAATCATCTCCATCCTTTTTAATACTCTTGTACGGAAGTATATGATTTGCTTGCAATAGAAAATACTACCTATATTTTTTTAAAGAGTTAATTCCCTATATAGGAATAAAATAATCCGGGGACGCTGTTTGATACATGGGCTGATCGGCGAATGTGGGCTCGGACTATGGGCCTTCCTAGTCTGACTAATGCCGTAAGCTCCCTTTTGCTAGGCGTCTGATAGTAGAAAGCAGGCTTGGGTGTATGGCCGTAAGACCATTTGTAGTGGTCAAGAGTCCAAATTGTTAAATTTGGACTCCGTTCATTTGAAAACTGTGTTTAGACTCCGTCAATACTGTTTTCCCTGCATCCGTACACCGTCGATAAAATACACTCTGCATATTTTTTACATATCAATTTAGTAAAACATTAATTAAATTATTATAAACAATATTTTTCTTTGTTTTTATTTGTGAAGAGTAATGAAATTAAAAAATACACATTTTGATGTTAAAAATTAAAAAAAATCATTAATTTTTTTTATTACTACTTTCACTTTTATAAAATAGTAAAATGAGTTTATGTAATATTCAATTATTTGTGGAGACACTGTGAATTAAAAATTTGTGTTTCGTTTTTTTAAGCCTACTCAACTCTTTGGCTATTGAAACTTCATTTTTAAAAATAAATTATATATGTATAATATTGATGTCATATGAAAGATCGTAAAAAATTGTGAATTTTGATATATTTTTCAAAAAAAATAGACAACAAATAAAAAAGTTATAGTCTTTTTTATAAAAGAGTGATTTTATTATGCAGGGATGACGTCAGCATGACGTCACCCGCTTAACAACAGCCACAGGCCGACGCTTTCTTCTCTTTTTTCTTTTGCTTTTGGAGAGTCTAAAACTCCTCTATATTTGAACTCTTCCACTCCCCTTTCCATTTTTAAACCCCATTTTACTACTCCAATGTAAGCAAATAGGAGTCTAAAAGCTCCACATTTAATTTTTTGGACTCCTAAAACCTTCCACTACAAATGGTCTAAGAGCTTTATATTGCTTTTGGAACTTGGACCGATTTTTATTGGACCGATTTATATTGTTAGAGACTGTGGTGTGTTTGACTGCTGATCTGGGGCCTGTCCTGTCCCAGTTTTATTCTGGTAAAGCTCTCTCCCACCACCTTAGACTTAAAAGTGAGGGGAGGGTGAAGTGGGTTTATGTATATTCATTTAGACTAGCTTACATGTATTTTTAGGTATTTTGATATATTGTATTTCGTAATTTGTCAAATTTTTATGGGTAATATATATATACATTTACATTTCATCCAAAAGTTTGAATATTATGGTGAATGAAGTTTCGCAAAAGTGGTGTGTGGTTATGGGATCCGGAACCTCTGCCATACTTCAAAATAAGGCACGGTGCCCGGCCCTCGGGAACCATCCGATCAAAAGATGGACGGTCGGAGATGTTGAAGCGCAGATCCCGAGGCCGCTCTTCCCTCATCCGACGGTCCTCTGCGCGCAAGGCACTCTGCCGTGCGGCAGAGGATCCCAATCCGTGGTTGTGCACGTTTAGATTCAAAGCATTGAAGTCTTTTTTTAGATAAGCAATGGTCTATGATATTGTGGCATTATGCTAATTGGAGTGGTGAGGTATTAGGAGTCCAAAATGTTAAAATTGTCATTTTTGGACTCCTAATTTCTTGCATTGGTTGGTTGAAGAGGGTATTAAAAATGGTTTCGGGAGGGATGATGTTAAATTTGGAGAAATTTAGACAACCAAAAATTAAATGGAAAAGAAAAAATAAAGGGGGAATGGGGCGGCCAGCCTGCTGTGCGCAGAGGGAAAGAGATCGGGTGGCCTTTGGTGCTTGTCATGCTGATGTCATGCTGATGTCGTGCCGATGTCACACAACACCCTTTTAAAGAATTGGTAGATCCAATTCATCCAACGGCTGCGACGATTTGGACACTGTTTGAACCAGGAAAAAATAGATCCAACGGCTGAAATTGAAATCCAATGGTTAAAATAATTATTTTATTTTTCTATGTTTTTAAATTAATATTTTTTCCGAAAATCCTATATAAATGCTCCAATATGTTTGAACTCACTTCATAGAAAAACGTAAAAAAAAAATATTAATGATTTTTTTACATCAAAATGTGTCATTTTTATTTTATAATTAATCAGAGAAAAAATTAAAAGGAAAAAATTAGTTATAATAATTTAATTAATGTTTTATTAAATTGATATGTAAAATAATGTGTAGAGTGTATTTTATTGACGATGCTTGGAATGCAGAGAAATATGAATCAAAAAATTATTTTCAAATGGACGGAGTCCATTTTTTTACTTTGACTCTCACACCACTTCAAATGATCTTGGCATAGGATGAGTCTGCACACAGGAGCGGATCTACGGTATAAGGAGCGTAAGCACAGGTTTCACCTCAAAATATGTTGTTAGCCCATTTGGTAGTAGTGGGGTAGTAAAATTCTTCTTAAGCTACAGGTTGGACGGTCGAAACTCGGTGGTGCTACACTTGAGTTTTATTTTTTTTACCTGCTTTCTCATTAATCTTTAAGCAACTAATTTGCCCATACAGCTTTCTGTTTTCGTTTTCCTTTGTTTGTACGGAGTATATCTTACTTAATGGACCGTATGCCCGTATGGATGGACTTGAAGTCCAAAAGTCCAATACCTTTAAATTTAAAAATGTCCAATTTAAAAATTCCAAAACCTTTAAATTTAAAATTGTCTAATTTAAAAATTCTCCACTAAGTTATCTCAAAAGGTAAAGAACAGCTTGGATTTCCACTCTTCTATAGAAGCGATTCATCCACTACTTCAGTATCAAGGCTTTTAATTATCTTAGATTAAATTCATATTATTATCATCATCATCCTTATTTTTTTAACATGTACATATTGCAATCTCTAATGTTCAATTTATTTAGCTTTATTTTGAACCACCAAGTGTAATTTTAATTTTTACTTTTATTAATACATACATAGCGAAAAAAATAAGAATATAATTTTATACGCTTATACACGTGATTATGTGAAATGTTTCAATTTGGTTGAGATAACATTATATTGTATAAATGTACGTAATATTATTGTACGGAGTAGTGATTATGAAGAAAAAAATTACTAATTTACCGTTCTTGTTTTCATTTTTCGGCTAGTAATTACGAATTTACAGTTTCTAATAATTACATATGGTACAGTACAAGTACTATTCATAGGCTAAATAAAATTTAGCCTATATTATTCTCATGTGGTGTGCTACTATGTGTGCATGCAGTGACCTCCGATGCCTAGGTCCGCCACTGTCTGCACACTTATGACGTTAGATCTTGCTGATGTGGCACATATTTGTTTTTTACTGACGTGTTGTTTTTACTTTATTGGGGGTCCTCGTTGCAATAAGTTGGTGTATTAAAAAGACAAATGATAATGGTTGAAAATAATTTACACTTTTTCTCTCTTTTTTTGCGAAAAATTTATACACTTTTTCATTTTTTACAAAAATGACATTTTACATTTATTAATAAAATCACTTCCAAAATCACACGTAAAAATAGGACAAGTATTTCAAAATATGAATTGAGATTTCAAATTAATGAATAGAAAATACTAATCAAATACTCCATATGATATAAAAATTAGTGCATACAGAGTGTGATTCTCCAAATTAAATATAAATATATTTCTTCATATTTTTATATTCTCCGTAAAATCTAAATTACATATAATATTTTATATTGAATGAGCATGCATTTAGGATAAGATAAAATAAATACGCTGAATTAATTTCAAACTTGAATTATGAATTCTCCATTGGAAACCAATGAATACTAAGCGAATTCTCCATTGGAATTCGCTATGTATGAATTATAAATTACATATAATAAATACTTTTTACTTGCATTTAGGATAAGATAAAATAAATACGCTGAATTAACCCAAAATTTTGTGCATTTGTGAACTTTTACCTGTGAATAGGTTTCCATTATGAATTTTATTGTCAATATCGTTCAGAACTGTACTTGTTAACTAAAAATGTTTAACACATCTATTAGTACATACAACATAATCCATATGTGTGTGTCAATAAATATAGAAAGTAAAAGGCTTCTTTTTTGACAAATCATTCTAACCTATTATAGTACTCCGTATTTGTTTTGTTAAGACCAACATGCTTGAATTAGGATGAGATTCGAACATGTGACATTCTCTTTGAAAGTTTCACAGTGCTGACAACACACTACAATATACTTGGTAAGTAAAAGGTTCCTTCTAAAGTAATACATATTTGTAAGATAAAAATATGACTACTTTCATTTCTATAAAAATGTGACTGATTTTTTATGTTAGTTCTAATTCCAACTCAACAACCCACCCCCTCCCTACCCCCATGCCTACTACTAGCTCTAGCAACATCTGCCATTGCCGGAAAAGTCATTGCAAGATATCACCAAATTTCTTTTCAGCTTTTTACCCCCAGGAAAAAGTTACTACCTCCGTCTCATAATGGTTGTCTCATTTTAATTTGGCACGATTATCAATAAAGTGGATGAAAAGTAAAAGTTGTGATCGAGATCTGAGTAGAATGAAGTGAAATGTCATGGACCACAAATTTCTCACCAAAAAGGTAAACATGACATCCATTTTGGGACAACCCAAAAAGAAAGTAAGACAACCAAAATGGGACGGAGGGAGTACTAGAATCTAGGGCTGCACAAGAATAACCCGAACCCGCATAACCCGCCCGTCCCAACCCTACCCGACCCTATTTAATCGGGTATTTGATTTTTAAAAATATTCATGGGTTAAATATGTTTGAACCCGCACCTAATGGG